AGTTGCTTTGTTACCGATTCCATTAGGAACAGCCGATTTTTTGGTCCATCATATTCATGCATTTACAATTCATGTAACAGTATTGATACTTCTAAAGGGTGTTCTATTTGCTCGTAGCTCACGATTGATACCGGATAAAGCAAATCTAGGTTTTCGTTTCCCTTGTGATGGACCTGGAAGAGGGGGGACATGCCAAGTATCCGCTTGGGATCATGTCTTCTTAGGACTATTTTGGATGTACAATTCCATTTCGGTAGTAATATTCCATTTCAGTTGGAAAATGCAGTCAGATGTTTGGGGTAGTATAAGTGATCAAGGGATAGTAACTCATATCACAGGAGGCAATTTTGCGCAGAGTTCCATTACCATTAATGGGTGGCTCCGTGATTTCTTATGGGCGCAGGCATCCCAGGTAATTCAGTCTTATGGTTCTTCATTATCTGCATATGGTCTTTTTTTCTTGGGTGCCCATTTTATATGGGCTTTTAGTTTAATGTTTTTATTCAGCAGGCGTGGTTATTGGCAAGAACTTATTGAATCCATTGTTTGGGCTCATAATAAATTAAAAGTTGCTCCTGCTACTCAGCCTAGAGCCTTGAGCATTGTACAGGGACGTGCTGTAGGAGTAACACATTACCTTCTAGGTGGAATTCTTAGCAAGAATTATTGCTGTAGGATAATAGCTAGGAGGATTTGAAAATCATTATGGCATTAAGATTTCCAAGGTTTAGTCAAGGCTTAGCTCAAGACCCCACTACTCGTCGTATTTGGTTTGGTATTGCTACCGCACATGACTTCGAAAGTCATGATGATATTACTGAGGAACGTCTTTACCAGAATATTTTTGCTTCTCATTTCGGGCAATTAGCAATGATTTTTCTGTGGACTTCCAAGAATTTGTTTCATGTAGCTTGGCAAGGGAATTTTGAGGCATGGGTACAAGATCCTTTACATGTAAGACCTATTGCTCATGCAATTTGGAATCCTCATTTTGGTCAACCGGCTATAGAAGCTTTTACTCGAGGGGGTGCTCTAGGCCCAGTTAATATAGCCTATTCTGGTGTTTATCAGTGGTGGTATACAATTGGTTTACGTACTAATGGAGATCTTTATACTGGAGCTCTTTTTCTATTATTTCTTTCTACTATATCTTTAATGGCGGGTTGGTTACACCTGTAACCAAAATGGAAACCGAGCGTTTCGTGGTTTAAAAATGTCGAATCCCGCCTCAATCATCATTTGTTAGGACTATTCGGAGTTAGTTCCTTGGCTTGGACAGGTCATTTAGTCCATGTCACTATTCCAGGATCTAGAGGGGAAAACGTTCGATGGAATAATTTGTTAAATGTATTGCCACACCCCGAAGGATTAGGTCCATTTTTTACAGGTCAGTGGAATCTTTATGCTCAAAACCCGGATTCCAATAGTCATATATTTGGTACCTCTCAAGGAGCAGGAACTGCTATTCTAACACTTCTCGGGGGATTCCATCCGCAAACTCAAAGTTTATGGCTAACCGATATTGCACATCATCATTTAGCTATTGCATTTATTTTTCTAGTTGCTGGCCATATGTATAGAACAAACTTCGAGATTGGTCACAGTATAAAAGATCTTTTCGAAGCACATACTCCTCCGGGGGGTAGATTGGGGCGTGGACATAAGGGTCTTTATGACACAATCAATAATTCAATTCATTTTCAATTAGGTCTTGCTCTAGCCTCGTTAGGGGTTATTACTTCCTTGGTAGCTCAACACATGTACTCTTTACCCGCTTATGCATTTATAGCACAAGACTTTACTACTCAAGATGCGTTATATACTCATCATCAATATATAGCAGGCTTCATTATGACAGGGGCTTTTGCTCATGGAGCTATCTTTTTTATTAGAGATTATAATCCAGAACAGAATGAAGATAATGTTTTGGCAAGAATTTTAGACCATAAAGAAGCTATCATATCCCACTTAAGTTGGGCTAGCCTCTTTCTGGGTTCCCATACTCTAGGACTTTATGTCCATAATGATGTCATGCTTGCTTTTGGTACTCCGGAGAAACAAATCTTGATCGAACCTATATTTGCCCAATGGATACAATCTGCTCATGGTAAAACTTCCTATGGGTTCGATGTACTTTTATCTTCAACGAACAGTCCAGCGTTCAATGCGGGACGAAGCATATGGTTGCCTGGTTGGTTAAATGCTGTTAATGAGAATAGTAATTCTCTATTCTTAACAATAGGGCCTGGAGACTTCTTGGTTCATCATGCTATTGCTCTTGGTTTACATACAACTACATTGATCTTAGTAAAAGGTGCTTTGGATGCACGTGGTTCAAAGTTAATGCCAGATAAAAAAGATTTTGGTTATAGTTTTCCTTGCGATGGTCCCGGACGAGGTGGTACTTGTGATATTTCGGCTTGGGACGCATTTTATTTGGCAGTTTTCTGGATGTTAAATACCATTGGATGGGTTACTTTTTATTGGCATTGGAAACACATTACACTATGGCAGGGTAATGTTTCACAGTTTAATGAATCTTCTACCTATTTGATGGGATGGTTAAGAGATTATCTATGGTTGAACTCTTCCCAACTTATCAATGGATATAACCCTTTTGGTATGAATAGTTTATCAGTCTGGGCGTGGATGTTCTTGTTTGGACATCTTGTTTGGGCTACCGGATTTATGTTCTTAATTTCTTGGCGCGGATATTGGCAGGAATTGATTGAAACTTTAGCATGGGCTCATGAACGCACACCTTTGGCTAATTTGATTCGATGGAGAGATAAACCAGTGGCTCTTTCCATTGTGCAAGCAAGATTGGTTGGACTAGCCCACTTTTCCGTAAGTTATATATTTACTTATGCAGCCTTCTTGATTGCCTCTACATCGAGCAAATTTGGTTAATTGTAGAATATCCGGCAATAAGTAATTTCCTTCTATGGAAAGGGGAAGCCATTTATACATTTAGGATGTGACTTCTATAATTGATACTAATAAGAAATCAACCATTATGGCAAGGAAAAGTGTGATTCAAAGAGAGAAGAAGAGACAAAAATTGGAACAAAAATATCATTTGATTCGTCAATCCTTAAAAAGGATTAGCGATACAAAGGATTAATTTTTAATTGCATTAAATTTTTAGATTTTCTAAAAGACACAAAAAGGATTAGCGATTTCAATGCCTTACCTCAAAGTCTCAAAATACTCTATATTTTGTTTTTCTCTATACCTTTCATCATTTCACCCACTAAATTACCTTTAAAAATAACTAATATTTTTTGGAACATTGAAATGAATGAAACGTCTTTTATATATAAAAATAGACAGATAAATGAATTTAAAGAAATATTTTAGAATTTATTTGATTTTTATACTTTGCACCAAATTAGAAATCAACTTATACATGATTTTTAGAATAATCATTTCAAAATTAAGAGTTTAATTATATAGAATAAAATGTGATTCAAATTTACAATTTAATCATATACACCAATCTAAGGTTGAATCAAATTATATTTGTTTGCATAACACAATCTGTTGTGGCAGTCAAGAAAGTTCAAAGACACAATAGACTAAGGCTTTGTTTGGATTTGAGGATAGAAAAGAGGGAGTGGAAAAGGAGAGATTTGAAGGAAAAGTGAGTAGAAAGTGAGGTTGTTTGGATTAAGGGAAAGTGAGTGGAAAGTGTAGAGAAAGTATGTGAAAGTTTGTGAGTGAATTAATTGATGTGATAGATAAAAATAAATTTTTTAATTAATAATTATATAAGATTACTATTTTGCCCTTAAGTTAAAAAATTTATAATTATTATAGTTAAAAGATAAATATATAAATTTTAATTAAAAAAATTATAAAATATTAAATATTAAATATATATATATAAAATATTCAATATTAAATATTAAATATATATATATATATATATATAACATAACCGATTATGCAAGGCTACATAATCGATTATGCCCTTGCATAATTGCTTCAACATAATCGATTATGTCCTTACATAATCGATTATGTATTCTTGCATAATTGATTATGTTTTTTTCGTATATGCTTTTTTCACTGCATGGCACACTATGCATGCATGCGAAAGGGCATTTCTGGGTTTTTATAAATTTTACTTGGCTTTCTTCTCCTTTCTTCACACAAAAGCGAGGACACGAATCACGCTTCTTCTTCCTTTTCTTCGCCTTTCTATTGTCGCAAATCACCGGAAACGAACAACAAGTTTCTTCGCCTTTCTTTACTCATGAATAGTAAATCCCTGGAAACAAACACTACCTAAGGAATCTTTCGGAAGCAACCAGAGAGAGCAACGTAAATAATTTAGTTACCATAGAATAACAATGAGCAAAGAATCCAACCTAAAAACCCCGATTATAATGAATTTATGAGGGAAAGCAGAAAGCTGAAAGAAGGATGATATCACTGTCATGGACATCGTATGCTTACACAGGTAACGGATTCACATCAAATCAAACCCCTCTCGCTGCCAAAACAGCGTTATCTTCACCCTTCTTTCCCTGTCAGATAATGCTCCTACCCACCTCGTGTCACAATCTCATTGGTTCCCTCATGCCTTAACCTTCGCATTAAATGCATGCCAACGCTTCTCCCAACACCTTCTGCACTCTCATTTAATGCATGCATGCCACACCATCATCATCATCAATTCAAACGCTTCCCCACCCTACATACTCCCATTATCTACTAATGCATAATTTTATTTTATTATTATTATTATCTTTTCATAAAACAAAATTTTAACTGGTGCCCAATGCATGTATTTAAATTCAAGTCTTATTAAAAAAAATAAATTTATTAAAGATGTTTGACGAAAATTAGTCTACAAAACTCAAGTGTTTTGTACTTAAAAATTAAAAATCTTGGGCATAATATTCATATCCGACTCTAACAAAATTACATCACCGGATCCTACTCTATTAAAAAAAAAAAAAAAAAACACACCTAAATCAACCCACATTTAGTAATAAAAAAAACCATTGCATTTCATACACCAAACTAAAACTCCACCGACTCCAATCGATACTTAAAATAACATTTTAATTAATAAATACTAACAAAACCTTTTCTTATTTTTTTTTTCTTTTCTGATTAGTGTTTTTCCCATTCCCCTATTGATTTCTGGTAGGGGAGCAAACAAAGGAGGTCCACCCGAGTCAATACCCGAACCACGACCCTTGCCTTGTGTTAAGGAACCTGACCCGACCCACATCGGAACCTTACCACCATGCAAGGAGTTTTTTTCTTTTTCCCCCACGCGCGGTTCGTTCTTGACTCAAACAACCCCGCGCCCTTCCCACGCGCCACCCATTCATTACACGCCATTTTCCAGTAACCTCGATAAATACAAAAAAAAAAAAAAATTACAAGAGGATCACGTGAGGCGAACAAGACGGCAATCACGTGAGAGTGAGTTAACTTTCGCAGTGGAGCGCGGCTTTGATCTTCTGAACGGTGCAGGAGATGAGGTTGTTCACGGTTTCCACGGACTCTACCGTGAGCTTGGCCGTAGGGAGACTATTGACAAGGATCTGAAAGGCCACCGTTAGGAGGGACCCACTCACGCGCGCCCCACCGTTATCAGCGCCGTTTGTTGTGGCGGTGGGCCCACGAGAGCCCGGCCCATCGGGGACAATGGCGAAACCCGAAGGTAATAAGGCCACGTAAGCAGAATCGCCACCGTTCATTACGACGTGCATGGCTGGAATATCCACTGGCGCGTACACCACAAGCGACCCCGCCGCGTCGATGCATGTCTCCTGCAGTATCAGCATGCTACTCTGGTTGGAATTTATCGCCTGCGAAATCAAATTAACATAAAACCCTGTCTTGTCATTTTCGCCAAGCGAGTCAAACCCTCATATATTTTTATTATTATTATTATTGAGAGAGAGATTATTACGCTGGCTCTTAAGAGAGAGACGCAGTTGCCATGGTCTTGGCCCTTGGCGATGTGGGCCATTTCTTGCATGGGGCCACCGTTGGAGAGGATGTCCCACTCGCTGCGGAGGCGCTCGTCGCGGAGGAAGTGGAAGAGGCGGTGGGGGGAGACGGGGAGCCAGACGGAGGTGGCGGCGCTGAGCACGACCCCCGGTGGCTCCCCGGGGTCG